CAGTAATATTGATATCAACTTCATCACCATCGAACATGGCGTCATCCTCAGCCAAAGGAGGTTCCACAGTTTCTTCATCTTCACTGGAATCTTCAAGTATTTCTTCCCAGCGGTTTTCAGCGTCATACTCTGCGGCTCCAGATGTTCCACCAACTTCATTTGCACCTTCCAACATCGCCACAAAGCTGTTGAAATGACTCTCAAAACCCATTTAAGATGAAGTTCCAACCGCATTTCTTGATGACCCAGACACATTAGATATATTACACAACTCAACAAATAACTCAATAATTAGAATATTTGTTAAGTCATGTAATTCAACCATACTTATAATATCATCATCGTCTTCAAGTGGTACTGTAACATCCCAAATTATGGGTTAGTGACCAAATTGTAAAGTTTCATAATTTGATGACTAAAGTAGAAGAATGAAATAGTTCAATGATTATTGGATATATATGATGAAGGTTATTTAGTAATTATTAAAGGAAATAAAGGGCAAAAAGGTCAATTGACCAAGAAATGAATTAAAATAGGATTGGTAAGGATATATACACGTGGAAGGGAGAGAATTCTCCAGAGTTCTCTTCTCCTTTCTTCTTCTTCTTTACGTGGAAGCCAAGAGCAAAGGTAAGTTTGATTTAGCTTTTTTTTTCTTGAAAGTTTTAAGTTGGATTTGAGTCTTTGAGGGTTATATAAGCTTAAGGAAAGCTTATATAAGTTTAAAACACCAAAGAGAGAGAATTAGAAAGGAATTTCTATTAAGGGTTTATAAATGAACTTTTGTTATAGAAAGGTTTTTGAAGTTCTAAAGTTGGATTTGACTTGTCAAGGGTCTAATTAAGAAGTTAGAAGCAATTGAATGGAATTTGGAACATGTTAGAAATTGAGTATGATTCTTGAATTTCCATATGAAAGATGGAATTTAGAGGTTAAAGATGAGATAAATGAATATTAATGAGTTTAAGTATGTATATGAAAGTTAGGAATATGAAAGAGGTTGAAATATGAAGGATTTAATCCAAAAAGAATGAATTTTCGGGTTCAAAAAAAGGTTCTGGGCAGAGTGCATTGATGCACATTCATAGTGCATCGATGCATCAAGGTTAAAACCTATAAATTTGTTTGAAGGTGTATCGATGCACAGGTAGTGCATCGATGCACTCTTTTAAAATAGAAACATCGAATGCAATTAGTGCATCGATGCAATTAGTGCATCGATGCATCCCAATAATAATACAACATCGAATGTATTTTATGCACCGATGCATCAGTAGTGCATCGATGCATACCCTTATTGAAAGAAGAAATTGGCATTTATCTTAATCTAAAGAGTGAACCATTAAAGTATATTAGTTATAATACTAATATAGATCTATGTATGATTATGTAGATATAGAATATGATCCCGTTCTGAATTAATTGAAGGATTAGAATCGAATCAAAGCAAAGCTAAGGTGAGTGCACATTATTTAGTATATGATGTTAAATGGAAAATAAGACTTATGATAAGTCTATTTCCAATAGTAAATGCATGAATTCATAGAGGTATGTGTTTGTTATGATTTATATGTGTGCATGAGTATATGTGTTATTGATATGATTCTATGATCATAGGATGTAAACTATGTGATAAGTGATAAGTGACTATATGAAATTATATGAGAACAAGAGATGACAATGATTTACATGTCATATGAAAACCAGAGAAGAGTTATAAGCAAAGTGACATATATGTGATAAATGAATGATATGAAAAGTGAGATAAACAAAGTATGGTTGATATAGGGTAATATAAGAATAGCTCATAGGTTATATGATAAAGATGGAACCATATAGGAACATTAATTGAGTACTTGATAATAAGTCATAAGGTTATATGCATAGGTAATATAAGTTATAAGATGAGAATATATATGAATATCAAATAAGTTATGAGATAAGTTATATGACATTGATATATAGGCTAAATGAAAGTATACACATGAATACATATATAAGTTTATATGTTATTTTATATGCTATAGGATATACCCATGAACATATTTGATGTGATATATGTTATGAGAAATGACCCATGTGACTAAGTGTGAATTGATATAAGTATGTGATATGAAGTTATGGGTATATGTGTTATATGTTACATGATATGACATGCGAGTTACATGAACAAATGAGAAATGATATAAGTCATATGAAACAATCTACGTGAATACATGCACTTGTGATACATGTGATATGATATGAGATATATGGTTACACATACATGTGGTATGTGACAGAAGAGAAATAACAAGTGATATGAAATGTTATAAATGATAATGCCCATGTTATGTGATATGAGAGCTAGGGGTATAGTTGGCATGCCAAGAGTCGAGGGTATACCTATGTTCTACGGAACATATGGACAGAATTACCTATGTCTTTCGAGACATATGGACAATATACCTATGTTCTAAGGAACATATGGAAAGTTTACCTAGGTTCTTCGGAACCTATGGACAGTTGCCAAGGATCTTTATGACCTCTGGATAGTTACCGAGGATCTTTATGACCTCTGGATAGGTCCTTCGGGACATTTATATGAGCTGTGGTGACAGCATATGTGTGCACAACCTCAATGTACTCACATACCTTAAGTTCTCACTAGTGTACATGGGCTAATAAAGAGATTAAACAAACATACTGAATGTGATATGTATACGATGGGTTTATAAATGGTTATCAAAAGTAAGTGGTTTGAAATGTGTTACATGAACCATATGATGTTATATGTGTTTCTTAATGATAATGATAGAGATTATGATAATGATGGTATATGTTTATGTATGCTTTATGTTATATGAAATATTATATGTTTTATATGCCTCACTAAGTCATCGACTTAGCGTGTGATTGTTTCACACGTAGGTTTGGAAAGCGAAAAGAGAAGTAAAGAGGAACAAGACAGGTCAGTTCTCCTTACCGAATGTCAGATCAGAAGAGAGGTGAATAATATGTATTTTTGTATATAAAGTTCTAGTTGGCATGTAATCAAAAGAATATATTGTATAAGCTCTGAATAGTTTTGTAAATGTTTTGAATAAGTTAAATGTTATAAAAGTTTTTAAAATTACTCACTATTTTATACGAATAAATGTTTGAAAAGTCAATGTGACACTTCGGACTCGTATCCCGATTGGATACGGGTTGGGGGTGTTACAGGTACTGCAACATACCTGACTGGATTGGGACATACAATAAATTTTTACCTCAAACCATCAACTTTAGCACGGATTTTTCTTTTTATCCTCTCCTTCATCTCTACAAATGTGATGTCTCTTTTAAACATCATATTTATAGGTGCTTCAGACTGAAAAATAACTCCGGCCTCATTTTCCATCATTTGTCCATTGTAATGGACAATCGTGAAAAATTTGTTGCTCATTTTCTCTACACGTAAATTATTCTTTAAAATCTGTTAAATCATAATAACTAATCTCACAATTTATATTACTCAATAACAAAATCTAAAATATAGTTCATTCTTTAAAATAAAAAAATCAATCTAATTCATTTCTATTTAAAATTATAATCATGTAACAATTATAAAAATTACATAAAACTTACCAAATATTCGATTTATTTCTTCCTTTATTTGAACTTTTTTCTCCTTTTTTTCCAAAATAACTCTCAAACATGCAAGCTTCTCTTATCTTCTTTTCTATCTTCTCCCTGAACTCATTTATCCCCCATTTTATAAATCATATTCGATGCATTATTGCTTCACAATATCACCATTGATTTATAATTGCTTTAGAATGAAGTGATCCGGCCTCATGCATTATTGATTTACTTTTGTTAACGTAATCTATGCATGCAATTCCAACACCTTTCTTTTACTTTTACTTTGTTTTCAATCCATTTCTTTTGCTTTTTATTTGTTTTAAAACAAATAAGTATTATTTTATGCCACTTATCATGAATTATTGATTCACTTTGATCAAAGTTTGCTTTGTTTTAAATCTAATCCCGTCCCTACGTGCATTATTCTTCTCATGATTTCCTGATTTTGCTGTAAATTTCATGGCTGCCAAACATAACAAACATAACAAAGCTGATTTCATGGCGTCTTCAACACAATTTTGCATGAAAAGTTGTTTTGTGTTCTGTTTTAGCTAGATTGTCTATTATCACATGCATTATTACCCTTTCTTTTACTTTTTCTTTATTTTGTGCGGGCCAACCTGCACTAAAATCATTAACACTCACGATATTCCTCATTGTTACAAACCATTTCGTTTTGCTCCACAATGGAAGACGCTGAGAGATCCAACTAGAATGGAAGTTGTGTTGAAGACGCCGAGCCCTCCAAGTTGGAATTTGAAGACGCTGAGACCTCCATATTAGAATGCAAATTGTTTTGAAGACGCCGAGAGATCTCCATTTCACTTAAAGTTGAAGACGCCGAGAGATCTTTGGATGAAGATATCGAGAAACCCTAAACCCACAAAACCCTAATAACACCGAGAGATCCAAGCATGAAGCCGAGAGATCCAAGCATTTACATGTCGTCGGTAACAAACACACCATTTGGGGAAATAATAGAATTACAACATTATTTTGGGAATTAACGTTTCCATTTGCATTAACCTGGCAGTTTAGCCCAATAATTATATCTGGGTTGAAGTTTATCTTAAAATGTTACCAATCCATGCGGCATTGGAGGTGGGGATAGGATTTTTGAATTGGGACAAATCAGCGACCAACCAATGCCATAAAGTGATAAAGCAAACAAAGAAAAGGGGGAAAAGAAACAATAGCCAATTCCATCAAACCTTGCCTTCTACTCTTTTTCATTTCTTTATTTATTTCATTATTACCGAGACTGCAAATTCTTTTTGAAGCAGGAACATAACTCCCCCCCCCTCCCCCCAATATATATATATATATATGATACTAATAATTAAAGAAATCCAGAGGAAGAAAGTATGTTTGTTGGAACAATTTATTGCCCAAAGGCGTTACGTTTGGTATCCTTTTAAGAATCTGTTGCGTAGAAGCTGAAGCTGAAGCTGAGCAATTAAAGTACAAAGTACAGATAAATAATAATAAAATGTCTTTAAAACCGCAAGGAATTGTTTCCATTGACAGTGAGAAAATAAAAGGTCTTGGGCTTTTAGTTTGGATTTGTCATAGCGTTTTTCTCTCTGATTTGTTGCAGGAAGGACGTGGATCGGCGAGTTTATCATTGGTTTACTAGAAATTACCACTGTTTTCTTTGTTTTACAAAGCATTTTTCTTTAGGAAAAGTTTTCTAGGGATTCTCTTTTAGTGGATTATGGTTTTGAACTTTTGAGGAATGGTAAAGGTTTAACAAGTCTGGGTTTTATTTAGTTTTTGAAACTATTATCGGAGTGTTGATTAAAATTTCATTCCTTTTGCTCCCCCCCCCCCCCGCCATGTTAAGTTTCCAAGAAAGGAAGGAGGTAATTATAAGTTTTGAACTTTCTTTCCTTTTGGAACTTGATTTGAGTAAAGGAAACACTGAATTAAGCTTGACATAGTTACTTGTTTTTCATACTGCGGTGTCAGATTCACAAGGATTGTGCTGATTTTCACCTTGTAAGCAAAGCGTCAATTGGATTCTAATGTCTAACGTTGTATGATTCTACAGGAAGAAGAAGGAAAAGCAGCAGCCGACATGTAGGATTTTTTCGTTGGAAGAATTGCATTAAGCTACCAATAACTTTTATTATGATAACAAGCTTGGAGAAGGGGGGGGTTTGGCAGTGTCTATTGGGGTCAGCTATGGGATGGATCGCAGGTATGAATTATTTTGCATTTTTTGGATTATACAAACTTATATCCATTTATGATTCACTTCCCTTGGCATGATTGATCTTCTTGTGGAATAACATCCCACAGTTTGTGTGTAATTTTAGGACTTTGGTGATCTTCAAAATTGCACCTCTCTTTCTCTAAACAATGCATGTAGTCTCCATTTACATGGCATTTGTAAATTAGCCACTCGGAAGATACTTACTGGAGTTCCATGTTTACTTCAGTTGCAATCAAAAGAAACTTCTGGACACTTTTCTGTTGTTTTATTTTTCTTTCCAACCTCCTCGTTGTTTTGAAAGTTATACACTTGCAGATAGCAGTTAAGAGGTTGAAGGTGTGGAGCAATAAAGCAGAAGTGTAGTTTTCAGTTGAGGTTGAGATATTGGCAAGAGTTAGACACAAAAATCTTCTGAGCCTGCGAGGCTATTGTGCCAAAGGGCAAGAACGTCTGATTGTATATACAGCTACATGCCCAACCGGAGTTTTCTTTCACATCTTCGTGGACACCATGCAGCAGAATGTCTTCTTGATTGGACCAGAAGGATGAATATTGCAATTGGCTCTGCTGAAGGAACTGCGTAAGTGTGGGCCCGATTTTCTTTTCTATTCTAATTTGTTCCAACAAAAATGCTAGCCTCAATGTCTTTCACCTGATCGCTTCAGCTATCTTCACCATCGCTCAACCCCACACGTAATTCATCAACACATCAAAGCTAGTAATGTGTTGCTAGATTCAGATTTCCAGCCTCAGGTTGCGGATTTTGGATTTGCGAAGTTCATCCCAGACAGTGCAACACATGTGACTACGTCAAGGGTACTGTCGGCTACCTTGCCCCTGAATACGCTATGTTAGGAAAAGCTTCTGAGAGTTGTGATGTATACAGTTTTGGAGTTCTTTTGCTTGAGCTTGTCAGTGGTAAGAGACCACTAGAGAAGGTGAGTGCAACTTCAAAAAGCCCGATTGCAGAATGGGCTCTCCCACTAGTTTCTGAGAGGAAGTTAAGTGAAGTAGCGGATCCAAGGCTGAAGGGGAAGTATGTGGAAGAGGAGTTGAAAAGGGTTGTCCTTATTGCACTTGTTTGTACTGATAATCGGCCTGAGAAAAGACCTATCATGCTTGAAGTTGTTGAGCTTCTAAAAAGAGAATCCAAACAAAAATTAAGTGAACTAGAGAACAATGACCTGTTCAAGTACCCACGGTTTACTGTTTGAAATGACGAGCTCAGAAACAATCAAGGAAGAGAAGGAGCATGAACCGGTGAAAGAGGAAGAGACCGGACACAAAAGTCCTCACGATTGCTAATGCCATGGACAAATTTGAAGAATTAGATGTCAAATTTTGTATCTTTGATATATACATGTTTTTGTTGCTTTCTTATTTTCTACTTGTCGTAACCGTCTTTCGGTTGGGCCCAAACTTGGGCTTCGACTTGGATTAAATGAATTGGAGTCGCCACCGACCACTTTAAAACGAATTTAGGTGGGCCGGACACCATCTTACCTGATCTGCGTTTCACCAGTAATATGTCGGGCTCGGGAGTCGGTTACGGTCAAGGAAGGATTAGCACCCTTGAACCGCCCTTTCGGTACCAATTAATTTGTCGATTGTATTTAATTGCGAAAAGTTAAAATTTAAATTAAAAATAAAAATAAAAACGAATATAGTGGAGTGACAGTACTCTTAAAGTTAACTAGCAAACAAGACACAAATCCATAACCTGAAACATGCATGTGGCAACCTTTGACCAGCAATATCCTTGTTCTTCAATGGCAACCTCCAGTCTCGAGTCTTCTTCTTCAGTCCACGTGCCTACATTCAAAGCTGGATCTAGAGAATTCACCTTTGATTAGTTAAAATCATCCCTTATGCACGAGCAGGAACAACAACTCCGAGGAGCCTGACCAGGCTGGCCAGGCTTTGGCATTTCATCCCTGCGTCTGATAAAGTGCTGAGGTGGACCACGTGCTTGAAGATTCCGGTCATTGGAAAGCGTCAAAACTCTCGATCGAAAGGGCCAGTGGGGTCGAGTTATTGGGATGTTCGAGAGTGCAGCAACCGACCATTTGGCCGAGCAGCAAGAATAGCCAGTTGATGGCTCTCTTCTTGGCAGAAATCACCAGCTTCGCGCTGTTCTCCTGGCCACAAAACCTGCGTTTGGGTAACACGGGATTACACCAAACAGGTAGTGTTCGGTCGTGCATGGAGTGCTTGTTACGCGCTATGTAACCACCAATTTCAGTGAACTTCTCTATTAAATCGTACTCCATCTGGTATTATCTCTCGCACCGATTACATTGGACGTCTCCGTTGACGGTACGGATCCCGTTCGACAACAAATGTTGAAGATCATGAACCGTGGCTCTATGGTTCGTCGCCCATGGTTTCTTGAATCGAGAAAATGGTAATGAACGGGATACGCTTAACATTCGGGGCTACTAAAGTTGTTGCACGTGCGAGACTTGACTGCCGAGGCAGAGCCCTGTGGTGTGGCAGCTGTTGATGCCAGGTTTCTCGAAGCTGGTGGAATAACTGGTGCAAGGTTCATCATCTGGGCCACTGCATTGTAACCTCCAGGAACATATTGTTGGAAATGGCAGCTCTCACCAAATTAGCAACCAGCAGCGCGGGTCTAGAATTCTTAATTCCGCCATTAACGTTGAACCCAGCTTCACGACTTCCTCTTTTACGAGTATCCATTATAGAATTTGAACGAAAACGATGAGTAAACCCAAGTGCCACTACAGATCTAGGTGCCTCTCGATTCTCAGTGTAAAGATGATTTAGAATCACATTTTCTGGCAAATGCGTACTCCCAGAAGCTTTCAGACTTAAGGGGTAGCTAAGCAACGAACGATGCAGGTGTGGAGGGACAACTGGTGGGTCACGTGCGTCATCTTCACTCCCAGGGTATGCATTATTGTAACTTGAATCAGGTGATCTTGGAACTTCAAACCCAACGACTTTTTCTTCATCTTGATCATCACCATATTGGTTGTTCATGCTGAAGAGTGATACGAGAGGCTAGCAGAGCTCAATCACCAAAACTCCCAGCTTTTCAATCCCACGTCTCCCGAGAAAAAGAGAAAAATTTTCCAGTAGAAATAAGTAATTGTTGGAGAAGACCCAAAAATAAGAGACTAGCTACTGGCAGGAGAATCGACCATAAGAATCTGCCCTGAATATTGTTTTAATAAAAGCATTAAGCATAGTATAAGAAAGGAAAGGATTTGTAAAATCTGGAAAGTCTCTCCCTGTCTAAAGCGGCGGTAACCATGGCTGCTATGGGCTGCTTCGTTTTCACGTTTTCTAGACAGATTCCTCACCGACCCCTTTGGAGAGGCAAAGTGTGAATTGAAGGAAGGAGAACTGGAAGGGAGGTTGGTTCGTTGTTTGCTTCTGAGCTCCTTCACCTTCGCTGCTGCTGCCTACGATCGACTGTATGTCTTGCATTGCTAACGACTCTCGCTCCCCGTTTGCTTCTTCGTCTGCATAAATACCAGAAAACGATATCGATCTCTTCCCCAGCAATGATGCAATGCCATGAAAGTCTTGGTGTGTGCATGATGAAAGCATTTGATTGGTGGAACTTTGGGGGTGATGATGATCTTCTTCATGAGGAGTTTGGAGCATGAAATTTGCTGGGGGGAAAAGTCATTCGATTGCTAGCTAGACAGGATCCAACAGGCAACTGAGTTTAGCACTAATCTTCGTTCCTCCAAAATGGAAAAAGAAACAGAGATATGCATCCATTAATAAAGCCAAAAATGGTGGCCCCCCAATCTCCCTTTCTTCCCCTCTCTTTTTCTTCTGTTTATTGGCAGCAAACGTTTACTTTCATTCCCCCACCCTGGACAAAGAAACAGAGATCTCCCCCCCTTTTTTTAGCCAAAAATGGTGGCCCCCATTAAAAAGAAGAAAGAAAATGTAACTAAAAGGAGAAAATTATGGGATTTGTTTTGAGTTAGTGGGGGTAGTGGTTGCACAATGGAAGGGGAAAGTTGCTGGGTAGTGTTTGAGTGGGTTATTGTTTTCTAACTATGTGGGGTGAAAAAAGTTAATAAAATATTGAATGAATGGTTAAAAAAAGTGTGTTTACAGCTGCCCCTCTTTGTCCATAGTCGTGTAACGGGTGTAGGACAAAGATTAAAAGACACGCTTTTTTGTTTAACATGAATGTATCCAAATTTAACACCATCCATATAGGGGTGAAATCCCATCGAATATCCTCTGTTTTAGAGTTGAAATCCGATATTTGGTCTAAAACACAAAATGAATCCCTCGCCGTGAGTTGAACTAGA